CGATCCCAATACGAAGTTCGCGAACATCAGGGATATCCATCGGGCTCAAATCGAAGCGGGTGAAAAGGAGGTTATCACGGCTGAATCCAGCGACTCTGAATGCCCTAGTGAGGCTGGCAGCTGTATTGTAGTGGGTGTGGTTGAGGATCAATAGTTAATAGTAATGAGGAGGTTGGGTTGTGATCCCATCGTTTTTGTGGTGCCAGAAACAGGGGGGTGCCAGGAAGTGGGTATGTTGACTTACCTGGAGCCTGGAACGCAGCGTGTAAGCACTGTCATGCCGCAGGAACATCTGCCGCTTCACCCTCTAGAATGCTCTGGCCTGTTAATGTCGTGTCCCCATTCCCCTTGCTGGGTCGCGTGGCTGATCCAGCATGGTGGTTCGCTTACCTAGTGTGGGAGCCCAGCGGCAGCTCTAGTGCCGAAGATGGCGCAGATTAAGGAAGCTTGAATCTCCGTATCCATACGAGATCCCCCTCTGGATTCGACCAACCGCTTGGAATTAGGCTTGTTAGCTTATAGCTTTAGTCCACAGACGTAGGTATCCCAACTGTGATATTAGCTTCAGACAACCACTTTCAGCCCTCACCGCGCCGTTGGTGCCACTAAACCCCAAGTCCTCATTTTTATGAGTAGGGGTATTCCGCACCTATACGTTGGGTATCCCGTACCTATACTAGGCTCTATTTAGTAGAAACTGAGTTAGTATAGCCTTAATATTTATTTTAGTAGTAATATTACTATAGAAATTACTACGTTAATAATTACGAGTTTATAATAGCTTAATGTATAATTATTTATTAAATTAATTATTATAATATTAGAATTGCTACTCTTGCTTACCTAGGCTTAGGCTTAGCTAATTCTACTAGCTACCTTGTGGCTAATTCGGCTAGCTATTCCCTTATTACTTATTATATTACTAGCTTAATTATAGTTACGGTAGAGGTATTAACGAGGTTATAAAGTAGTAGTATTATTACTAATTTAATAGAAAAAGTATGCCGTAAGGGTAGTAAGATTGCTAAATATAGTACTACGGTAGTAGTTAAGGCTATTATAGTCTCCTTATTTTAGTAGTTAACTCGCTAAGCTAAGCGTTAAATTAAGTATTAATAGTAGAGGTTATAGTATCTCGTAGCGTACTAGTTAGTTACTTATTAACGACCTTAGTAGTAGTCTTTTGCTTTTTTTTTAGCTTCGTAAGTATTAATATAGGAGTAGGGGTAGTACTTTGCTACGGCGGTAGGTTATACTTAAAAGCAAAAGGCTTTTACGAAGTAAAATTATTATATAAGCTAAGGGTAATATTCTAGCCCTAGAAGGGTATAATAGGCCTATTATAGAGGGTATTATCGTTAGTAATAATTAGGGTAGCTTATTAATAGTTAATACGTAACTTAATTACGTCTAGGTCGGGCTTATAAGTTACTTTTTATAAAGTAATAATTTTAAGTTAAAATAGGGTAAAAAACGTTAGTTAAGGTTTTTTTAATAAAAAAGTTAATATTAACGTATTAGATCCTAATCTAACTATTAATAATAGTTAATATTGTTTTTTATAAATAGCTGCGCTAAGTTACTTAACTTAAGATAGTTAAGAAGGTTATAGTAATAAGGTAGGCCTTATTAGCTTAAGAAAGTACTACTATAGGGTAATAAGCGCTTTATATAAGACTAATTATAAAAGACTTCGTTAGTAATATAGTATTATTTTTAAATTTTATTAAGTATTTAAAAAGAGATTATTAATAAAAGTTTTTATATTATTAGTATATAGAAGTAAATAGTTTTAATATAATATTTTTACTTATTTACTTTTTCTTCGAATTATAACTATTTTATATAAATTATTTTAATTATAGTAAGTTAGAGGCCGTAGAGGCTAGCGAGCTAATTATATAAATATAACTTTAACTCGTAATAAGTAAACTTTATATATAACGTAATTTTAATATTATAATTCTGTAAGTAATTAATGTAATAAGTATAAAATTGTTTATAAAAGAGTACGTAAACTTTTTTAAAATAAGAAACGATTCGTAGCTACGTAGGATTAAAGATTTTATAAAATATAGCTTAGTAATAGTTAAAATCCTCTTTAGTCTTAGCGTAAATATATATATACTAAGCTTTAAGAATTTTATTAAGCGTTTATTTATACGAATTTAATAGTAGAATTAGTATAATTAAGGGTTATAAAGGTAGTAGAATTAGTAAATTAAGTAAGGGTACTAAATTATTATTAATAAGCTACGTTAGTTAAGGTAATTTATAAGTTAAAAATTGACTTAGCGGGCTAGTTATAAGATCTTTATTTTTTATAATTACTACTTAGTTAATTAATTTTTAAAAATTTATTAAAACTATATTAGTAAAATTAGACTAATTAGAGCTATTTAATTATTTTAGTAACTTATTAAATAGAACGAATTTAGTACTAAGTAAGGGATTTTTTAGCGCTATTAAGCGAGGCTCAAAAGTAGCTTCGTAAGGATTCTAAATAGCTACGGATTCTCTTTTATATATCCTATCTTATTTCTATTTAATATTTAATATTATATTTTTAAAAATATACTATAAATAGATTTATTATAATATATCTAGAAATACTGCCCTTATTACCTTTTTTAATATATTATCGAAGTCCGTAATAATTACTTTTAACTATAAAATTTCTTTTTTTTTATATACTAATTTTAACTAACTTAGTGCTTATTTAAAGGTTTTTACGTCTTTATTTAATATAAAGTAAAAAGCTATATTAAATATAATATAGATAGAAGTTATGTTATTAACCTAAAAGAGTAGTATATTAAAGTAATTAACCTATTTAATTAGTAAGTTTTAATAACTTTTAGCTATATAATTACTTATTTTATAAGTATTATTTATTATAAGTAATTTAGGATTTTTTTTTTATATTTTAAGGTATTATACGTATAATTAAAATATACTATTAATCTTACTCGTTACGGGGCTGTGGTGAACTACTAAAAATACTATATCGTTATTTACGTTAAGCTCTTATAAAAAGATCTATATAGAGGAGAGTAGGCTATACTTCTCTTACTATATTTTTTTTTAAGTATTTTTAATATTTTATTATTAAATAAGTATACTTAAATTATTACGTATTTAAGTAGTAATATAAGTAGAGGTAAGTTTTTTAGTTATTAATAATAACTCTACTTTTATACTAACTGTTTTTTTACTAAGGTTTTACTAGCTTAGTTTATAAAAAACCTAGCTTAATAAGTATAATTCTACTACTAGTAATTCGTAGTTATACTTATTATATATTATATTTATTTTATACTTATTAAGTAAGTTAGGGTATTAGTATATACAAGCCTTTTATAAGTAGCCCGTTTTTAACGTTATTATTTATTACTACTTTACTATTAATAACCGAGGCTTATTACTATACTTATACATAAGATCTAAGTAAAATAAGGAGCCGTCTTATTACTTCTTTAACTTTAATTTATTTACCTTATACCCGAGGTCTCGTTAGTATAACCGGACCTTTATAAAGAGGCTATTAATCGAATTATTTATTAAATTTATTAAAAAAAGCTTAAGGGAAATATAAAAAGGTAGGAATTGGGTAGTTAAATTTATATAAAAGTATATATATATAGTTAATAAAAAAGTATTATAATAATTATATAATTACGTTACCTAGGTTAATATTAGATTTATTTAGGTACTAGAATTGGCTAGAGCTACTTAGTGTGGCGGCTACTTACTTCTTCTTACTAATTCCTCGAACGAGCTTAGTATGGGTGCGGGATACCTAACGTGTGGGTGCGGAATACCCCTACTCATTTTTGCCGGGCAGGGCTGACTATCTAAACTCAGTTGGGCCTGTTTGGAAAACAATCTCCATGGTAGAGTTCAGGAGATCAGCGATGCCCAAACTCTCCCGACTGGTCGGGGGATACGCCGCTCCCGCCGTGTTCCCCTTTGGAGATTATCTGGTGGCGTGTGGCACGCTGCAATCACCCTAGTGGTCGTAACTTAAATGGCAATCGTCTCCCTTCCCCTCAATTCTGTTGTCGATCTTCATGATTCCCATCTTTCCCAAGTCGTGGATCGCATCGCCAGATATCATGGCGCCCACAATCGATACCCTCATCATCGGCGCAGGTCCCAGCGGACTCTGCGCTGCAAAGACACTCCTTCAGCATGACCCAGCCGCCGAGATACTCATCCTCGATGGCCGCGCCTCGGTCGGTGGTGTCTGGTCGAAAGAGCAGATCTACCCGAACCTGAAGACGAACAACCTTGTCTCGGCGATCGATTTCTCAGACTTCCCTATGGACCCCAAGCGCTTCGGGGTCAAGATCGGCGAACATGTTCCTGGCAAGGTCATGCATGAGTACCTTGTCGCATACGCAAAGCACTTTGACGTCTGGGACAAGATCCAGCTAAACACAAAGGTCGTACGGGTGACTCGCCCAGAAGATGAGGGGCAATGGAATGTCGACGTTGAGGAGAACGGGGAAGCAAAGACCGTGACCTGCACACGGCTCATCGTCGCGACTGGCGTTCTCACCGTACCGCACATGCCCGACATCACCGGCTCCGAAGACTTCAACGCTCCCATCATCCACTCTTCCGATCTTGGTCCCAAAGCAGAACTGTTCTCTTCTCCCTAAATCACGACCGTTGCAGTCCTTGGCGGGAGCAAGTCCGCCTACGACGCCGTCCACTTGGCTGCATCTACAGGCCACAAGGTCCGGTGGCTTATTCGTCGTTCCGGCCGCGGACCTGTGTGGGTTGCACCGGCGTTCACGCAGCTCGGGCCGTTCAAGGTCTGGCGCGAAAGGCTTGTGACTAGGAGAATCTGCGCGTTCATGTCGCCGTGCGTGTTTCCTGACTTCTCAGGTCTCGCATGGGTGAGACGGTTTCTGCATGAAAGCGCTGTGGGCCGCGTGTTGAGCAAGACTTTCTGGAAGTTGATCCGTCACGACACGATCAATGATTGCGGATACCAGACGGACGAGAAGACGAAGGTGCTGCAGCCGGAGCAGAACATGTTCTGGTAAGCTTAGCTGCTCATTATGGTTGTCAATAGCTTGGTAACTAATCCCATTCCTTCCACAGGTACGGCACTGCTTCTGGTATCCTCAGCTTCGACGACGATTTCTTCGAGTATGTCCGCAACGGCACGGTCCAAATCTACCGCGAAGACATCGATCACCTATCCGACCATAATATCCACTTCACCGACGGCTCAAGCATCTCCGCCGACCTCTTGGTCACATCAACCGGCTTCTCAGCAAAGCCAACCATCAACTTCGAACCTGCATCTCTCCATTCCGATCTCGGCATCCCCTCCACATCTCTAGGCCTCAAACAAGAAGCATTCTGGAACGACGCAAACGCAAAGGCAGACGCCGCCATCGGCGCGCGCTTCCCACGCCTCCTAGACGGCCCTTTCCAAAGCCCCACATCCTCAAAGACAAAGTCCTTCAACCCCGGTGCGTCAGCAGAGGTTTCCTACACCCCCTGGCGCCTCTACCGCGGCATCGCTCCCCCAGGCCTCGCCGCTCGCGACGACCGCTCTCTCGTCTTCCTCGGCGCCTTCAGCAACCTCGCCAACATCATGCGCCTCGAGGTGCAGTGCCTCTGGATGCTGGCGTACTTTGAAAACGGGATCCCCAACTTTGACGTCGACCGCCGCGCGGGCCGCGTCTTTGAGGAGACGGCGTTGTTCCAGCGGTGGGCGCAGCATAGGGCGCCGTACGGGCACGGTCGGTGTTATCCGGATCTGGTTTTCGATCAATTGCCGTATTGGGATATGTTGCTCGGCGATGTCGGGGTGGAGACGGCGCGGAAGGACGGCATGTGGGCCGAGTTGTTTGAGAGCTACACGCCGATGGACTACCGGGGCATGGTGCAGGATTGGATTGACCAGAACCGATAGACGTCTACCTGACCCTGTGACGATGATGATACCCGTAGGTGTAATGATCAATGAACATGCATTAGTAAGAGACATGATATGTGGTTTAGTCTTTGTGTCCTGAAGCCCGCTGGAGATGTCCGCCTTGTTTTCATCTATCAAATTGCTTGCATGTTATGATGTAAGCCAAGTCCGACTTCAATCTATAGATCATCAACATAACTGCTAAGAGGAAATATGGCAATGATTCTTGCGCCCGATTTGGGCTTGGCGTAAGCGAAATGCCATTTCCGACTCAGCCGCTCTGTTCTAGCAACATGCGTCAATATTCCAGAACAGGTCTCTGTCCTCAATGTTGGTGATATTCTTCGATTCTGAAAGTCAGTACGGGGCTGCCGGAAATCGATCCGCTAGCATTTAGACTTTGACCATGTGATGAACCTTGGCCTGATCGTCGGCACTCCTTATCTCTGTCACATGTAATACACAGTAGCATTGCTCATATTAGTCCTAGCCTACCCAAAGTACTGTTGCAAATGAAACTCCCGTGAACGTCATGACTTCTGCTACTTTGAAGTACCGAAAGGTAGTTCAGCCAATTGGAGCAGGAAGTCTGTAGCCTACTGGGAGCCTTCAATTAACACAATGCGTCTCGGAAGTATGGGATACGCCGGGAATCCTATTGGCACAATCCTACAATAGCAGCCTTTGCTGATTGCTCGTCAAATTTACGTTTAACATTATCCCCTCTTTACCTCAACAGAAGAAAGGCTCAATCTCATGTTTATAGGCAAGCTTTCTCATGTGAAATCCAGCTTCAGAGACGTGATATGGGCTGCAGCAGTCGGTATAAGAACGCCTTAGATGTATAGCGCAAATAGCCAACTCCAGCACTCGGCAAGGTGGAAGGAGTTGAAGTTGTGGAAAGTGATTGGAGAAGTTTGCGATGATGGATTACTTTGAAGACGGGAAAGACCAAGGTTACATGCACTACGCTCCAGAACTCGTCTACAAGAATGATTTACTGATAATTGCCAGTCCTTGATGAGATGGCCTTTGACGAAGGCCAGGAATTTGAGTTCCTCACTGCTCTCTCCGAAGACGACTATCCCAAGCAGGAGACCATGTCTGGCCTTCAGCCCGAGCCCGCTCAGCACGTGAACTTCAATGCTGATGCGCTCTCTGTCGACCAAGTCTACTGTCAGATGTCCTCAGAATTGCCCGCGGGCGGTTCGGTCAGTCCACAGGCGGGCTGCGGCACTCCCAGTGCATCCAATGCTCTTTAGGGCGGAAGCTCGGGACACAGCCAGTACCCCCTGTTTGGAACTGAACCGGATCGTTCGAGAGTGATTGACGATCAAAACTTATCAACACACTCGTTCATTGGCTTGGTATTCCCAAAGGACGCGGTTGACTTTCCCATCGTTGAGGAAGGGAAAGAGACCACGCAGACGGAGTTTGAAGAGGAGGATATACCCCTAGGGAACGATGAAAACTCCTGGTATGGAGTCTACTTCTGTACTCGGCCTGGGTGTGACATATTGTTTTCCACACCTGGCGCTAGGAGGTGAGCTCTTCCAAAAATAACAAATACTACTCAGTTGGACTAATGATAATGATCTGGTCAGGAAGCATTTCAGGACCCATTGCACACCTGTGATCTGTCCGGTATGCCCGAAGCGAATGGCCTGGCAGAGAGATATGAGGAAACACTACGATACTCATTTCAAGCGGCCGCGTTACCAGTGCCGGTGTGGAAAGGATTACTCCAAAATGGATAATCTGAACAAGCACATCAAGTCCAAGACGACATCACAGCAGATGGTACAGACGAAACCCATGCGACCGAAGCTTTAAGCATGCACTTTATATTTTACAGGCTCCTTGTGCTGCAAGACGTTTTCTTTTGATTTGAAGCTGGAAAAACAAAAAAGAACAAGAAAAAACTTGAAAATTCAAACATGTAAAAAAATCAACACAGACAATAAGTGCGGAAGGGAGATAGCAGGAATATAAACACACTCGTTTGGCGTCAAATTTCTAGTCCCTGCTACATCAAAGCTGAGCACCGCCGCTATCTTCATCTTCGTCTTCGTTATTTTGGAGCGTACTACCGTTCTCGAGATTTTCAATGTCCCCGGATCCATATTCCACCTGAACCGCCCCTTGAGACTCGGGTGAAAGATCCAGTAGTTCGATAGCGCTGTCCAAGCTGAAAACTATTGAGGAAGCAACATATCATGTCAGCCGATCGGACTCTTGCTTTGCATCACATAGAATACCCAGGGCGCTTACCTTCACTAGATGGGCCGGCGTCACTATCATCTGCTCCCTCCGTCTCCGACCCTGATTCACTTTCACCAACCAAAGACGCAGTAATCTCCGTAAACGAGTCCGGACGTTGCATTGTCGTCGCATGTAGCTCGCCCAGCCGATCAATCACCATAGCCTTCAAGTCCCCAATAACATCGTTGATGATCTTCCGCTGATTGATCCAGCCAGGGTCCTGCTTTCCGCCCACCAAATTCACGATTCCCCAATTTGGGTATACCTTCTGATGGGCGTCAAGCAGAGTGACCCTAGCGGGATGGTGACGGGCATAAGACTCACAGCCAACGCACGCAGGCTTGCTGCAGGCGACGTAGCGGTCATTCGAAAAGTACCTCCTTCCGCTGTCATAGAAATGATGAAGCATCTGGACCTCTGCGTGGACGCACGGCTCGAGTGCACCCTCTTTGAACTTGTCCTGGATCTGGTCTTCAATTTTGACTTGGGTATCCAGTCGCTGAAGGACGTCCAGGCACGATTCATGCTGGACATTTGTCTCGGGTAGAATGCGGTTCAGGATACGTGGCAACGTTGTGTGCGCATCCGCTTCTGGCACTGGCGCGCTAATGGGACGTTGGACTGCCGCAACTTGGTAGGCTTTGAGAAGTACTTCCATACGGTTACAGTCATCGAGGAGCTGGTTGATACTGCGGATACGGGCAGCTAGACGGCCGACCATGTGTCTGACTGTACGAAACGTCTCGATAAGCTTTTCCGGACGCAGGTCGTTTTCGGTATCTTGGCCGAGCTGCTCGATGCGCTGCATCTCCTCGTCGTTTCGCGAGCGGTATGCTGACCGACACAGAGTAGCATGGGAAGACATACTCTCAAATTGTTGGAGCCACTTGACAACCCGGGCATCTAGAATTCGTAAAACCTTAGTCTCCGTAGGTATTATTGCCTGCGAGGAATAATGGATGACTGACCGATCTCCTCGTCGCTATCTTCCAGAGAAAGACGGCACTTTCTAGCAGAATTACGAAGAATTCTAGCTTCCTGTCGGAGTCGATCAGAGGCAAACGCAGCACATCGAACTAGCAATGCCTCCTCCGCTGTGGCGCGATCCAGTTCGTTGATCGGTTCACAAAACATGCGCAAGGTCTTGAGTACATCTTCAAGGAAATCCACTACTTTATCTCCAGCGCCCTCGTTTGAAGCAACCCAAAAGACGTAGCAGTCATAACGGTTCTCGACGGCGATGGCAGTTGCAGTTCTTCCTCCCTTTCTGTAGTCGCAGAGAAATGCCAAGTTTTTGAAGAAACGTCTTTGAACATCCTGCGTGGTGTAAGTTCCGAGCTGGGAGACGACATGTGGGCCGACGATGGGACGGATGATGAAAAGAAGGAGGAGAGCTTCGTAGAGACGGTAACGGAGGCGGGCGTAGGGTTCCATTCGGGGTGTGAGAGCCATTTTTTGCGATTTCCCTTCTTAAGTTGACAATTGTGATCCGGAAAATGGAGTCGTTGAGTGTTGTACGATCAATATGATTGCAATGATGAAGTCTTTGGAGAATCAGCCGAGGATAGTTCAAATCTTCGCACATACAGAATGGCGAAAGCCTGGGAGGACGAAAGGAAGCTGGCCCACGAATGAGGGCCCTCACCAATGAAGGCCTCCACGACTGAGCATCCCCGTCCATGAGCCAACTTCCCTTCGTCCCCTGAGGTTTCCGGAGACCCAGATGTGGTGTGTAGTGATGAGAAATGCTTTGCTGATAATGCAGGAGGCCCTCCAGCGTCGATAGTTTAAATCAAATGCCGGATCTGAATTGCCTTTGAGTCTGCAGAAGAGGTGTGTCACAGAGTTTTGGTCGGGATCCTGCTACAGCAAACTTTCTTCTACTATTCGACGTCATCATTCAATAAGAAGCCGAGCCTGCAGCACCTAATTGAATCACATGATGGTATGAGATAAGGCCTGGAGTTAAGAGTTGCAGACACCCGATTCGAGATTGGACAGTTGCTTAATGTTGCGTTGACAGCGCCGCAGGGGCCACCTACGGTCGATAGATACATCAAATCGTTGCCACACACTCAACCTTTTCTCTATTCCTTCCGCGATGTCAGCGCACCGCCGGTTCATTTGCACTTCATCACCACCAAAATCGTTGGCCTTGACCCACCTATTTTGATATAAATACTAACACTAAGCATGTAATCCACCTCTTTGCCCCAGATACATCAAGAGTACCCCAGGGCTAGTAAGCCCGCCATATGTTTATAGGAAAAAAGTTATTGACACCTCCAGCACATTATGACGAGCAAGAGACAAAAATAATGGACGATCTGGGAATCGAACCCAGGACCTACCGCATGCTAAGCGGTCATTATACCACTAAACCAATCGCCCATGGCATGATCTAGCCCGGACTTGAACCGGAGACCTTCAGTGTGGCAGACGGGAGAATGAATCTCTCGAACTGTTAGACTGACGTGATAACCAACTACACCACCAGACCTTGTTGAAGCAGCGGCCAGAATTTGCAAATATGCATGCAGCAGCCGAAAATTGTGTGCGTGAGAGGTGGGATGTGAGTGTGGTGGAGATTTGTGAAGCGAAAGTAGATGCAGAGGGCGGGCCGAGATGCAGGGTGGCATCCAATGGTCGACTGCCGTTGATTTGGCGTGGACATGGGTCCAAGAGTGGGAATGGGGACTGCAGGGGGATAAGGGAACCGAGAAAACAACATTCGCGTCTTGTTGCAAGATGCTTTTCTGGAGCTACCTGTGCTATCGCTATGAGTATCAAGGAACATGATAGTTAGGATCGCAAAGCTCGCCATGGCAACAAGCTAGTGATCCAATATTCTCAGGCAGATGCCATTCTCAAATCTTGAAGAACGTTGTCATGAGTGAGTGCATAACTGTCTAACGGCAACAAGAACAGGCCCTAGCTGTAAGCTCTGACCAATGATCGCGTCCGAAAGAACCCAATCGCGACCTCACGAGCCCAGGGCCATCATCAACCGCGTCAGTCGCGTCTCGAGAGTGGCAGAAAGGGATGCGAACAATGAGAATAAGGAACGCCGCCAAACACGCGAGACGGTCGCAGGCCTGGCCGAGAATTGTTTGGGACGACCGCGGCTGGGACGGGAACGATTGGCTGAACGCGCGGGTGCGGAGCGCGGGGCGGGCGGGGCCGGTAAAGGTGGGTCCAATGCCGGGGGTGAGCTTCAGCCGCTAGTCTGGAATAGGAAGTGTGTAAACAATAGCTCCATCTGGGCATCAACAACATGCTCATCGATTATCAGGTATGAAAGGAAGGGAGTGGATTGGCATACGAGACACACGATACAGAGTTCAACGATACCTTGATCTTATTGAAGGGAGTGTTCATTCGTAATTATCCCCAAGTCTTGTTCTGGCACAGGAACATCGCGACTTTGCCTGCTTCCATGCGCATTCACCCCCTCCTCTAAACCCGTATCATCAGAGTACTCTGTGCTCAACCACCGAGGACGTCCAGCGACTTCACCATGACCAACGACGACCTGCCCATCGCGTTACGGCGCACACGCCGGAGCATGCCCGCACCCGCTCATGAGCCTTCACCAGCTCCAGCACAATCCCAAACACCGCGCAAAGCACCAAAACGCCGAGTACGCTTCTCAGACCCAGGGCCATCAGGATCAACAACACCACGAACAACCCGCACCCTCTCAACAGGTCTCACACCAATGATCAACCGCACATCTCTATCCCGAGGAGGAGTAGCACCCACCCCATCATCATCATCCTCCTCACGCCGCCGTCACTCCATGCCAAACGCACCCTCCGGCGCAGCAACAGACCTGCCTCCAAGCGGCGAAGTCCACTTCCTCCCCCTCCGTCAAGTCCTCTCAGGCCGCGTCCAGCGCCGCATCCGCCGCAACGGCCTCAGCGAGGAAATGAACACCATCACAGCCGAGAAGCGCGCCAGCGCAAAGCATGCAAAGGAACAGCTCCAGACTCTCCGCGACCAACTCCGTCAAAAGGACGCGGAGATCTACGAGCTGCAGAATGCTACCATCATCCTCGACACAGAGCGTATCTGGGCTCTTGAGAAGGAGGTTGATGACCTCAGGAGCCAGCTAGCGGACAGATCTTCGGCGTCAGCGAGGCAGAAGAGCTGCTTTGACTGGACGCTCGCGGCGCGGGACCCGTTCGCCGACGACTTTATGGAGACGGATACCGTCGAGGCGGAGTCGGTGTGCGGGGAGAGGGTGCAGTATGCCGATGAGACGGTGTTTGGGGAGGCGACGATGGCGGAGATGGAGTGTAGTACGCCCACCCGGGTGAGATCTTCGTTCCTGACCCCGCCGCTGACGAGTCCTGTTGCGGCTGGGCCTGCTACGCCTTCTTCGCTTCGGGGGAAGCAGAGAGTGGTGGTTTCAGCGCCGTCGGACACTGGTGTGCAAGCGAACCTCCCTGATCCTGAAAAGCAGCGGCTCGAAGAGGAGTTGGCTTCCTTAAGACTAGAGATGTCGAAGCTCACCGGCACGTTGGATTCGTACTCTGCTCTCACCGAGCGACTATCCCAGAAGCTTTCCGCCGTTCCGCCGGAAGACACAGCGTCGGATTACTCCATCGCTACAATCGAGACGCAAATCGCAAGCCTCCTACGCACGATTTCTGACCGCACCGCCGCGCTGCAGGACCTCAACGGATCCCTCTGCGCCCTAGGCTTCCCTGGCTCCGACGGCGCCGAGATCGTGACTTCCCTCTCCGCCGCGTTGCGTACCGCCCGCCTGGAGCTTGAGTACCTCACCCCAGGCGAAATAACCCTCCCCCTCTCCTCCCGCGGCGCAGAGGTCCTTGACCTTCTCCTCACGCGCCTACGCGACCTCGCGAAACGCGCAAAGGAGGATGAGGCGTCGATAGACGAGTACCACGAGCTAGAGCTCTCTCTCCGCCAACAACTGGGTGCGCGGGTCGCCGTGATGGGTGAACTCGAAAGCGAGCTCAAACGAGCGAGGGAGGGACTCCAAGAAAAGGAGGGCCGCGTGAGCGAGCTTGAAGTCAGCGTCGAGAGGCTCAAGGGCGCGGTGGCTGGGTACGTGCGTGACATTAGCGAGTTGGAAGGCGTCGTAGGCAAGATGGAAAGCGAGAACCGCGACGCCATGGCGACCAAGGACGCGCAGGTTGAGGTTGGGAGACGGGTTCTGCGCGCCAAGGAAGACGTCATAGCGAAGCTGGAGACGAAGCTCGCGGACGCGGTGGCGCAGGGCCGGTCGTTGCGGAAGAGGCTTACTGAGGCGGAGGAAGCGAGGACGAAGGAGGTTGCGGAGGTGACGAGGCGAGGTGGTGCGGCGCTGGCGGTAAGGGATGCGAGGGTTAGGGAGTTGAGGGAGGAGTTGGAGAGGGTGAATGCTGGGTTGAGGGCTGCGCATGAGGGGATCAAAGATTTGAGGGTTGAGAAGAGGGGGTTGGAGGGGGAGATGGTGAGAGAGAGGGAGGCGGCGAAGGGGGTTATTGAGGGGATGAGGGGAGAGCTGGAGAGGGTTGTTGGGATGAGCCGGGAGTTTCTGGGACCCGGGGCGGAGGATGAGGCCGGAGCGGAGGGTGCGGGGCCGGATAATGGAACCATCGGCGGGTCAGAGTCCGGGGCGAAGAGAGGCCTGCTTGCGGGGGATTTGGCGCGGCGGTCATCGGGGAGAAAGAGGAGAAAGTATGACAGCGGGCTGGGATTCTTAGAAGAGGATGAGGTTGATGCATGAAGTTAGCTGTGCGAGCTATGGATTGAGGCATCGCATGCGTGTATGGCGCTTGAGAACCACTCACACAAGATTTAGAGGAGGGCGTTTTGGCGCATGTTCCAGTCGTTTGCCGGTAGTCGCGGCGGTTTTCTTTTGTCGGTTGTAGATTTATCTTTGCTTTCGCCAGGTTTGGGTAGACAAACGGGCGGGGCGTTGGAATGTAACGGGATTCAATTTCATCTCTTAGCTCGACGCATGCGCATACACGTGGGCCACTTTCGCTGAACACAGCTTTAAGCTTGCTTTAGCCTGGCAGCAATTCAAGCTGACTCGAATGGAATAATTGTTACTGAATGTTAAGGAGTGCCGTCAGGCTTCTTTATCGACTTCAGGTCATATCACGTTGCTCAATTGAGGGCATATAGTCATAGATGTATTATCGTCTACTAAGGTACAAGGCATCTCTTCATTATCACCTTGATTACCTTACTTCAGAAGATCTATTACTTCGATGAACGCTTTAAATGCAGCTAAGAGTGACTGACGTGGTACAACATCTTTGCTATCCGCATTCATTCTCATGAACAGGCCGCATCCGCATCATTCCACAGTCAACTCCAAAACCCCCCACCAACTGCCGCACCCACCCGCAACAACATCGCATTATCACATCTTCACGAGAGGTAACACAAAAACGGCCGCATGCGTGCAACACCAGCCCGCAACCCGCCAACATGTCCTACACGAATATCAAAAAACAGGCCCTCCCAGCCCCTTTTTCTTCTCGCAATCCGTACCAGTCTCCAATTCTATCAAAAGATCTAATTTCCCGATAAAATTCCTGAATTCTTTCCACGTCTTCCTCACCAGCATACCAAATCCATCCTCCTACCAATCGTCCAAACGCAAACCAACTCAATACCGCAGAAATGTTACCCCCCAAAGCAAAATTCGTCCGTGAATTCGAGCGCAACAACAGCCTCACACGCAAATCCACATCCACATCCACAACCCCATCCTCCAAAATCTTCACCCACAACCTAAACTACACCTTCACGGCCCCCTCAGTCCCAGACATGACCTACTTCGCCCGCATCCTGCACTACCAACGCTACGGCCACGACGGCCTCGCCTGCTCCGGCGTGTGCTCGAGTAATTTCACGCTGCCCATGTACGAGAAGCAGGGGTACATGTCGCCTTACCAAGTACGATACACGGAGCGCCCCGGCTCGCGGGGCTCGCTGAAGAGTGATAAGTCCTTTGATGTCGCGGGATACCGGCGGGAGCTGGCGGCTGCGGGGGTGAGGAAGAGAAAGTGGAATACGTTTTGGGCTGTTATTCTTGCGTTGTTGATTATTTTCTTTGGGGCGGGTGTTTTGGCGTTTGTTCTATTGTCGATTCATTTGAGATGACTGAAGCTGCGTATTAGTTTTGCGACGCAAAAATTTGGGTTTGAGGCGAGCATCTGTTATGTTTTTAGTTGAAGGTTCTCAAAAGTTTTACTTGGTGTATAGCAAGCGCTGCGTGTCTCTCAACGAACAGAAACTCCGATGAGTTCCCGGTCTATTAATTAGGGAGTTGGAGTTTCTGGCAGGCTTGCTTAATTGTATTAATCGATTGATTTTGCGTACGCTTGTTTTTGACATCCTTAGTGTCTCTTTGTTTGACATCTTTCAAGCCCCTACGCCCTTGCTGACTAAAGGTTTGTCGATAGTGCCCCTCCACCCCGCTTTTCCAAACCATCACGGCCAAGACTTCGACATCGCTCTGCGAAGGGTTCTCAGTCTAAGTGCCTATAAAGCCCAATCATTCGCTCACCTTACCTTGGATACATCAAAGCCAATCAAACCATAACATAAAACTTCAAAATGACGACCTCTGTCGGCGAAACCTCCCTTCAGACCCTCCTCTCAACCCTTACCACCGTCCTTCACCCGGAAACCTTCGTCTTCGTCACCCTTCCTGCGGAAACCCCACTACCGCCCCTCTCTGAGATTCAACTACTGTTTAGAGAGTCCGAAGGCGTCACCCTCATCACCACTCTCGATATCGCGACAGCCCGTAAATGGGATTATGCGTTCCCCTCAAAGATGATTACCCTCAACGTGCACTCGAGCCTCGAGGCTGTGGGGTTCATGGCTGTTATTGCAACAAGGTTGGCCACCAAGGGAATGGGAGTAAATCCTGTCAGTGGGTACTATCATGATCATTTATTTGTTCCTATTGGCAGGGAGGAGGAAGCTGTGGCAGAGTTGAGGGAGCTCGCATTGGAGTCTGGAAAGGAGATCTAGTAGCTACAGATCAAAATAATCGTTGTCGTGGTCGGCAAGAGGTCTTCGCTTCGACGCGAACACGGGCAAGCAGCGCACCCCAGCGATGTCTCTGAGCAGCTTGTGTCTGAGAGAAACCTCAAATGAACGCTGCAGTTAATTGTATCGGGAATACGCCTGCGACCCCTTCGTCGACAATTTAGACATCAAGGGTCTGCCACATTTTGGGGTACATACCTCAAGTCAAATGATGAACGAAGCTGAGGCTTCCAGCACAGGGGTCACAACAAGCTAAGTGACAGGGTGCCAGCGCTTCAGTACGAAGTATCCTCGTTCAGCAGCTCCAGCTCTCGACACCATATTCCACTTTACCTGCGTGATCTCCTGCCGACAGTTGAAGAAACGTCTTGCAGTCTCTTGTATCGCTCCAAGGTGACCTTTACACTGGCTGACCCCACGCTGCGGGACGACGCGCCAAGGAAACAGAGATAGGCGGCAAGGCGGTATTGGTATTGGTCCAGGCTAGGCTGTCCGAGAGAAGATTAGCTTGAACATGGGGTACTGCAGGTCTAACTCCAGAGGCGGACTATCAGCGTATCAATCCGCTCACTCTTGCCGCCGTCTTTCAGCTTGCCGCGATCATGCAGGGTTCAGAAAACACGCGGGAAGATTAACCAAAGAGATGCAACCTCGCAAGTCAACTAAGTCGTATGATAACATTGATCAAGTGCACTGGCTCCCACACAGCTCCCGAGCAGCCAGACTTAGCTTTTCTAATTCACTAGTTCACCACCTTCTTCTCTTGATCCCGATTCTGGATCTCCTTCACTTCTGAGACCTTTCTCTTTGACATCTTATGACGATTAGCGAGTCTTCACTTTCCATACTGATCCCACATGGAGCGATCGGAGCCTAGGCTTCCAAAGTCTCGGACCAAGCAGTCTAAATCCAAACCTGCGCCATTTACAAAGTTTTACACGCCTGAAAACTCAGATTTCTACGCCAAGTTTAAGTATCGACCTTTGGACAAGAAATATGAAGAAATTTGACTTCTCGATGTTGATCTCACTGGGGGCAACAAGCACCGCATGATCCATTCGATTTCTTTAGCAAAAGCCGGGAAATATTGCGCCATCTCGTATTACTCGGGCAACCCCAAGGACACAGTGCCGGTCTGGATCGAGGGCATAAAGATGAACATATTCTCCAATCTCGCCAAAGGAATCGAGAACGCTGCCAGCTTCTGGAAGAAAGGATCACCGAACCAGCCTCTGCGACTCTGGGTCGACCAGATTTGCATCAATCAGAGCGATTTACCAGAAAAGTCGCACCAAGTCAACTTTATGCGCGAGATCTACCGGAGCGCTACACATGTATACGTGTCAATGCCGGTGAAAAAGAACCTTCGCCCCGTTTTCGAATGGCTGACGGGTCTTGCGGCGGCGAGGACGACGAAGGGGTACGAGCCATCATCAAACATGCTTTACGAGAACCCGCCACCAGAGCCAAACCTCTCAGGAAGATGGAGAGATAGGGTAAATCCAGAATGGCCAGCAGATTCCTGGGAAGACATTTACCGTGTGATCAATCACTCTTGGTGGAGCCGCTCGTGGGTTTATCAGGAATTCATTGTCGCCTCGGATGTCTTCTTCCTATTCTCTGACGAGGTATCCATGCCATGGAGCCAGCTCCATCCTATCCTGTCTCTTTTCATGGAACTGGAAACCGTCAACGCATGCAAGGAGTCGCTGCAAAAACGGTATCAGGCTGATGACATCATGCATCGGTACAGAATCTTTGCCAGCATCAAGCCCATGAAAGACCATCTTCGCAACGTATTGAGGGCAGCCTGTGAGTGCTGTCCTATCTGCTTCTATGATGATCCATTCTCTGGTAAACCCTGGAATGTGTTCCGCTGTTACGTCTCCTCATGCGTTTGCACAGCCCATGTACTAAAAGCTGCGGCGTACGCTGTACCTTGGACCCTCGGCTGTTGCTTTTTTCGCTACCCTTGCTGTCCCGGGTACGAGACAAGGACGACGCAAAAGTTGAGAAGTAGAACAAGTTTAGTAGGAATGGATTACCATGTCCAGCGACTAAGGACAACGAACGCTAGTCGAGTACTCGTCAACAGGGTAATCGAGGGTAGAGAGCTATGGGAAAGGCAAAAGCATCAGATCAACCTGTCTTATCTTCTTCAGCACGCACGAAACACCGAGACCTCACAGCCAAAAGACAAGTTCTATGCCTTTGTCGGACTGGCCAACCTCGAGAACGAAGTGCCAATCCGGTACGAGCCAAGTTACAGCATCCAGGCGGTGCTCATCGACGTGGCTCGTGCGATTGTGGTGCACGAGGACGCGGGCCTCGATATCTTGGCACAAGCAGGCACGGCGGCACACCGTCGAGACCTTCCCGAAGGCAAAGATTCACTCCCGTCATGGGTTCCAGACTGGGATAAGCGGGAGGATATCGAGAGGCAAAAGTTCATCGACGCCTTGGAGCTACCGTCCGCATGCAGCGCAGGCACAAGTCAGAGCTCCAAAGCCACTCTGGACTTTTTGGAAGACAGACACGGGAATGAGAGGAGAGTGCTCGTCGCTGCGGGAACCCAGGTTGATATTCTCGGAAGCGCCATCGACAGAGGCCATGACGGATTCCTACCTTGGAAGTCCTTTTCAAGCTCGGACGGCCAAAGAGTGATTACAACGACGAGTATTGCGCACTTTGGGGATGAGGTCTGGGTTCTTGACGGCATGAGCTGGCCGGTCATTTTACGAAGAAGTTCGGCTGACAATTCCACTACGCTCCTTGCCATCGCTATGGTGCGTGAAAACGGCCAGCCTCATCAGATCATGTTCGGAGACAAGAATCTTTCAGGAGAGGCGGCTACGGTAGTAATTGTATGAATATCACGGTCTATTTGGTACTTAAGGTAGAACTCAGGAACTCGAGGTACGTAGTGGTTGCATAATCCAGAAATCATAATCTGACGTCATTCTTCCTATTTCGATCATCTAATGTTGTTCTTAAAATGAGCTCTGATGTATACAACCAAGACCGAACATATTCTACTTGCAATCAACTACTATCTTGTTGCTCAATGACGGACACCCAATTATCCCCCACTTCAGGCTTTTGAGGTTCAGCGGAACTAGTGGTACCCCCTGTACAACTCGCCAATCCAACTGCGGTATTGCCCACTTCGTTAGGCTGATTCAACTGATCCCTCTGATCCAAGCGCGTAAAATATAGCCACCAAGATTCGGACGATTCAAAGGTGTCAAGAGATGTTGATAGGTCAGAGGGAAGTGGCCGCGAGTCGGCGATATATGTTGGCAGCTCTGGTGAGGGTCCGTTGTCAGCAGTCAAGAGAGACGGCAACACTTCGCCCCAGTCGAAGCTCCAATCATGTTCCCCATCGAATCCCGAAGCTGAAGGGATGGTACTGCCCCAATGCCCTTCACATGGGTACGTTGTTGGTGTACCAACCGAGGAATTGAGAAATTCATTTGCCCTCGCACTTGATGGATCTTGTGTACCAAGTTCCATTTGATCATCCAAAGTCAAGCGCGGAAAGTTGCATCTCTCGCCAGACGTGTCTGCCGTCGACTTAGTCTTCGCCGATTCCTCGTCGCTCTGGCGCAGGTCTGAGGACGTATACTGGCAAAACAAAGAAAGCTGGGTTTCTCTGACAATGTCCACAAGCTGGCTTGTTGTTCTCTCACTCAGCCGTTCAAAACCTGGGTTGGCCTTTTGGTCCAATTGGAGTCGAAGACTTCGAGGTAGTTCTCTATCCAAGTACTCCGCGTATCTCTCAACTGCTGGATCTTTCCATTCCTCATAATTATCCGGTTGTCCATGGTCTGCGTCATATGAGTTACAGTGACGGATTTTGTTGGCTGAGATGACTCACAAGGATTGGATATTTCCTCTGGGCCTGGAAACAGTATTAAGTACATCTCTCTCCACTTGTCAGCTTCATTTGTCTTCATGGACTTTTGCTGTAGCCGTTGTTTCTGATTCTTATTGAGCCATTCGATCTCAGGAGACTCTTCTCTGATGACGCATATATTCTCTGCTTTCAAATGTTCAACTTGTTCCATTGTCGAATCGAATGGTTCCCGGCATCGAGGGCAGGTTAAGAGAGGCGCCGCATGACACCTGTAAATGTGCTCCCTTGATGAAGGATTAGCGTGATTTGACACTTGCGATTGGACCTGCACGCGCTTACTTCAAATGATCCACCGTGGGCCATACAGACTCAGAGCAGCTCCGCCATTTTGACGAGCAGAAAGTCTGGGGAAACCTTGTATAGTAGGGACATCGAAGTTTAGGTTCCTCCTTAGGTAAGCCTCTACCTACGTTCCTTTTGTTGGGCGACAGTTTGAATCTTTTGTTGAATCTGGGTGCATTCAACTGCGCTGAAATGTGTTCGGGTTGGGGTTGTGCGATGGCTTCTTCGTCCATGAATGGCGAAGATGGAGTGGGTAAGTAAGGAAATATCATTTTCCATAGTTCAAACCATTGCTCTTCTTTAGATGAACCTCTTTTGGCTCTCCAAGAAAGAAGTACTCGTTCCTGGGCTGAATCAATTCCTTCAAGTTCAGGTCTTGGCGAGCCATCGGGCATGCATGGCGTTTGGCTCTTGTGAACTGTTAAAAGATCGATGCTGTCGAAGATTGCCCAACAGTACGTACAGTGAGGTGGCTGTACGTGACGTCGAAGTATATGCTGCTTGACGTATCTGGTCTCCGAGAGTGTAGCACTGTAACACGACCGATGCTTGCTCGGATCCAGTTTCCAGAAAGGACAGGCAAATTGAAGTTTCGTGCTCTCAAACTTTGCTCTCTTTTTCGTGGAGGCTCTGGGTTTTTCATCATCGTCGTCAGAGCCGTCTTCGTTGCAGGTTGATCTCTTGCTTAGTCTTGCTTTGCGGACAGATGGCCTTGCCCTCATGGATGGAGAAAGCCCTGAAGCTTGGCTGCTTGAAGTAACGGCTGATGTCTCTGGGCTTGTTGAGACATGGCCTACGATGCGTGTCTTCTTGAGAGAAGAAATGCCAGAGTCTGCGAGACAGGATAGCCTGGGGCACTGCAATCGGAGGGATCTGCGGAACTGTTAACACCATGTTCACTATCTGTCGGAAAATGGGAGTCACCTGAGAAACGCCGTGAGGGCAGAAAGGCGCGCCGACAAGTCACATGACTCAATCCACGTGCTTTGCTCAACTTTGCCCAACGGAGAGGTGGAAAGTGTATCCAGTGCCATTTGGCTGTTGTACTGGGGGTTAGCGAGCTGATCGCGCCGATACAATGTGCGTTGAAGGTTGACTCTGCAGTCTTCACTAGGCTGTCGTCCTTGATCTATGGCCCTATCAATCATCATGCCGGCTAGGCATGGGATAGCCATGTTTGACCAGGTGCAGAACAGAGCCGTGATGAAGGGGCTAGACTAGTAGCTGTTAAGAGTGGCGCCAGCAGCTTTGAGCCGAGAGAGCTTGCTTTGGTGACCGGCAAAGCAATGCCTTAGGTTCGAGTATCCATGAGGAAGCGGAATCAGCCTCGGGTAGCACTTTCTTGTGACTTGGAGAAGAGGGTAGGCGAGAAATTACGTAGAGCACATCAATGATGGGCTATTAGACGAAGCCTCTGATTGACTATGAGAAACCTAGCACACTCACGGATGACGAAGAAAGAGGGGAAGTCAAAGTATTAGGAAAACTGGGCTACCCGAAAGAGATCGGGGAGCGGTAAGCCGCGGGTTGGGTTGTAGTGTGGCGTATATTGAGGGAATATCACTGGGCGAAGTGTCGTCAGCCTCGACCAATCATAAGATGATGTCTTTTTCCACCGTATGCATGGCTTGCAGTCTGACACTCAATATACATGGACAGAACCAAGTAATCCTTTGGGTTAATGCTGCACATCGTAAACCGGTGAGTGGCAGGGTAATAAGACGCCCCTACCCCCTTGATCGATTCGTCCACCGAGTCCATCCAGACACAGTATCGTGTAACAAGTCCAAGCTCGGTTGAGTAGCCCCTCGTCTCTTTAGCTTAGACATCTCGGAATTGTGCAGGGTGGCGCAGGCTGGTGGCCTCTCTGAGAAGCGATTGGGGATGATGGCGAGTTGAGGAGTTATTGTGCTGCCATGCCAATCGCCAAACTGGACCAACAATGCCGTCAGCTGTGATGCCGGGCCAATTGTTGAGCTGAAAAGGGGGCATAGTTGGTGACGAGGGCACAGCGAATCCATAAGCGGTGGAACCAGGGGGCATCGGATAGGAGAGAGACACCGATGACCTGCACCAGCCCGGAATTCGAAAGAGGAGGGGGTCCAGACGAATGTCGTCGATCGAGTTGAAGTGCTGCCCGAGAATTTGGGGGTCTCTTGGACTCCCCTCCTCGCAAGTTTGATATATGTTGCTTCGTCGCTCCCTCTTTCTCGCACTCCGTGTTCCTCACTGACAATATTTCATCCATCGCCAATCATACCTCGGACGACAGATCTTTGACTCGTTTGGGACGTGATTGCAACGTTTTCAAATCGTGAAGAATCAAAGCCTTAGGTTAGTGTTGTGTCCTCGTTCCTTTCTTGTCAGACACTATCGACGTCCCATATTTTGGGCCGAAGCTGGAAGATGCCGAGTGGTGCAGACAAAGCGGGCTAAAGCTGTGATGATGGACCAAGTCCCATATACGGACGAGGTTATCATGCGGAACACGAGCCAGAACGGTGTTCCAACTCAACAAGCATCGCTGGATGATAGAGATGCCACAGTACTTCGATCAAGCTCTGAAGATTACGGCATGACGTAGAAGTGATGAAGGCTGATGATGATACACTAGTAACCTCCAGCATCATCGACTTCAACGGCTCGGTTCCCAATAACTGCATAAATAAAAGTTTTGAGCAGGATACCCATGCCCACCTTCTTGAGAGGCGCCGGCGCCAACTTGGACGCATGCCGTAGAGGAGTGCGAAGAAACCTCAATCGACTGTACCGTCGCGTCTTGGGACGAGATGATTCCCCTCAGCGGGATGAGGATGTTCAGCAGAGAGGTCGCGTCGCCAACCCACTCGTCATCCTCGTCGTGGAAATTCTCGCGACCGACTTCTCCGTATCTAAAGCCACGGTTGCTCAACTCGCTTTGGGCTTTGTGTACGGCGTTTCAATTAGCACCCTCCATCTGCTGATGGATTGCCGAACTCGTTTGAGAACGGTCCTCACACTAGCGGGCGTGGTGCCCGCGGCGGTATACCTCTTCCCTGGCGGCCCGACGCTGCACGTTGTACCTATGATCATTGTCTCCGCTGCGGCGGGGACTCAGATGCAACACTGTCTTCATGTTCGGAATCGCCAGAGGACCTTCGATTCGGTCCTGCGACCTCAGAGCTCGGTGGAATGTCTCTTGGTGGCTTGGTTGATTGCCGTTGGAGGCAACGCTAAACAAGTCAGCCACTTTATCCAAGCCGGTGCGGTGCTTTTCTTCGATGTCCTCTCTTCGTCGATCGCCACCAGGTCTTTGACGACATTCTTTCTTCGAGTGGTCTTGGTGACATTGGCGTTGGCATCCTTGGTACAGGTAGGTTTACCACGCCAGGCTGAGACGCACATGGCTGACCAATGTCTAAGCAATTCGTGCCTGCCTCTACACCCAAGAATCTGGGGCGCCGAGGTGAGGTTGCAGGTTCTTCTCAAGGGCAGGAAGGTGTGTAGCTACTCGTCATCACCTTATCTGCGTTCTTATTCCGGGTATTCTGATCGTTGAATTAGGTTGGCCCAGGGCTGAAGTCCTGGCGGTGATCGGCTTTTTTGTGACCCCGGGCATAGCCATGTTCTACAAGGATGTTAGAGAAGTGATAGTCCCTAGAGCGTACCGCTGGGTAGTTGGTAGACAGAGGGTATAGGAGGACGAGGAGAACTCTGGGGCAAATGGCTTTCTTCCTCTTGAGAACAATGAGCTTCCGGTGTGGGTCAATATTGAAGAAGAGCTCCGAGCTGGGGTTGAGCAGTGGAAGGACTGAGGTCTGTGTTGGCGATTGCGCCGTAACTACTGTATCAACGGCCGCGGCCGAAATTCGATCAGGGGTCAAGAATCTTTGCGAAGGTTTGGTCTCGGTGTTACTAGAAGGGTTTCTGATGGGTCAGGCGTTTTATGGCAAAGAGAGTATAAACACACATTAATGGACGAGGCATAAAATAAAAACAGAAATTAGAATGGGCATTGAAAAAATGATATAGAGCGAGGTTGATTCGTGTAAGCCAGTGCAGACTTGTTCTATCGATGAATTGTGAGTGTGTGCTGGAAAAGATGAAGGATGAGAAAGATGTCAGGAAGCAGGCAGGGAGTTAGAAAGGGTCGGCAACAAATAACATTGAGTCTACACATATCTCGCAATCCATCATCCCACGCATAGCCAGGCATCAAGACATCATCTTGAAGCACCTCCTCGAAGTAGATAGGCCAAATGTAGAGAGATCAGAGTGCGCGAAGCGCACAGTTGTGCGTTGAAAGCTGCGCGTGCAGAATGCGCACAGTTGTGCGTTGAGAGCTGCGCGCGCAGAATGCGCACAGTTGTGCGGTTGCTGTGCGCTAAAGGCGCTTCACCTTTGTGGATAGAGAGAACCCTGAGGGAGTAATTAGTGTCTTAGGTAAGGCAATTTAAATGCCGGTTGCTGGGATCAGTAGGACGATCTGGCACCACACCACCCCTTCGTGCAACTTGCCAACTGTGAAAAGCATTATGCGACGCGCGCTGTCTGCTATCTGGTACAGAAGGCACTGAAACCAGTGAAATCCTGTAGTTACCGTCAATCTCCAAAGGTATCCAGAGGTTCTCCCCTCGCTCAAATGCCAAACCTAGTACCTTTGGAAGCCACGGAAATGGTGAGGCATGAAAAGGCACTACAGCACTGATGCAAACGGATATGGTGTGGAAGCCATGTGGGAGCTCCAGGGTGCCCCCAAAATAAGCTGGGACGGACCCACGGGTGAAGCCGCGTTCGGTTACTCCCGAAGCCGGAAGAACGTTTAGCGGCGAGAAGCGGACCGGAGCCGAAATGTGGGACAATGCCGGCCAGAACCCGGCAATGACCATCTCCTTTGGCTTCGAATGGTTTGCTGCTACTTTATATACTACAGACGAAGCTTGATGTAACATTTGTACTTGAGAACGGGACTAGCCTTGGAGATCAATCTATCGTGAGCGACTTCCATGTTTCGCACTGCGAGATCGCGTTACTAACGCTGGACGCGTAAAGACAAATGTGGTCGCTAATCTGTGACATTAATAACAGCGTTTTTCGATCATCTACACCAAACCTGGCTTTTCTATAGCTTTCCTTTATGAAATTACTCGCAAAGCATTCTACGTCATCTGAGCAGCAGAGACCTCATGGATAAAGTGCTCTTCGACCCTAAGTGCTGCAACACAGAGCCATGGTACGTATACAGGCCACCCAGCAGCCGTATTGACGAAATCCGCGTGTCATCTCTCGCGGGAACCCTCGCCGTAGCCTCCCAAGCTGTCATAATATCATAATCAACCACAGCATCGTCCTGAGTACTTGTCCAAGTAATCTCAAAAAGCCCACTGTCGACCCTATAGCGAAAATTATCAACCTGCCCGAACCGGCCATTTCAAATCTCCATAAGCCCAAGTTTCGGCATCCGGCAAGCCGCCGTCGCAGCCAATAACAGCAGCGTCTTGATCTTTGTTCGCCTCTCAATGGCTTCACCGCTGTCGCCGCTCTCTCCAAGAAACATCTCGGCAGTTAGAGTAAGCGTTTTCAGTTTCGGAAAGTATCATAGAGTCACTGTAGGGGCATCGACGTATATAAAGAGAACGGTTATTTATTAAAAATAGGAAATAAGTATAAAGCTCGCTCTAATATAGAGGGTATAAGTAAAATAAGCCTTAGTAATTATATAACTAAGGTTACGTAACGTATAATAAGGCTATAAATAATTAAAACTATTATAATATACCCCCCTAAATAAATATATATTTAAAAAAAGCGTACTTAACTACCTATATTATTATAAAAAAGTTTATTAAAAGCGGAAAACTAAATATTAATATATAAAAATCTATTTATAAAAGGAATTATAAAATAAATCGGTTTATATATAAAGTTATAAACGAGGGGTAAATTAGTTATAAATTAACCTTTATATTCGTTATTATAAGTAATTTTAAGGCTATATTATTAATAAAAAGTATAACTAAGAAACGGCCTCTTATTAATTAAATAATTAACTTACGGGTTAAGGGTAGTAAATATATAAATTTCTTACCGCTACTTATAATACTAACTTTCTTTTTTTTTTTAACTTATACTTATATTATTATTATATATATATACCCTTACTTTTTATTTTTATACCTACGTTTTTATATATACGTATTATTAAAAAAGGATTTTTATTAATAATATTATTTTTATTTAAATATTATTAAAATAAATAGCTAAAAACTACGCTCGTATTATTATAATATAAAAAATTAAGAAATATAAATACGAGACTATAGTTTTAAAAAAGAATAATAACTCCCCTAGTCCTAATAACGAGCCTATAAAAAGTAAGTAATATTCCCTTATTTTATTTTTTAATTAGTAATATAGCCTTATTTATTTAATATTAATTTGATTATTTTATTTAATAAGTAACGGCCTTATAACTAAACGAGTTATTTAAAAAGGTAATAGAAATAAAGAGGGTTTATAACCCCTTTTTTTATTTCTTCTTAGAGATTAAAAAAAAGTCCTCGTTTTTTAAAAAAATAGTATAAATAAAGAGGGTTTATAACCCCCTCTTTTATCTCTTTTTAAAAAAAAAAAAAAAAAAAAAAAAAAAGACTTTTCTTAAGGGTATTAAAATAATAAAGTAGGTTTATAGCCCCCTCCCTTATTTTTTTTTAAAAAATATAAAATAGTTAACTATATATAAAATATTTTTTTATTTATTATTATTTATAAAACTAATTCTTAGTAACGGACCCTTTTAGTACTATCCTTAATATTAAGGTTTAATATAAACTAGTATTTTTACTTCCTTTATTTAGTTATAAATACTTTAAGTATATTAAGAGCGCTTTTAATAACTATTTAAATAATACGTACTTTTTAAGTTTACGTACTAATAATAAATACTAATATTACTAAACTTATAAAAAAATAAGTTATACCCCTATTTTTAAGAAGTATATATAAGACTTAAGTATAAAGTTTTTATATTTTAAATAGGTATTAATAAAATAAGTAATAATAACTATAGTTATAAGTATAAAACTACTTATATTTTATAAAATAGGTTCTTAGCTATCCTCGTTTTATTTATTATTTATAATTTAATATATAATCCCTAACTTGCGCAATAATAGCGTTATATAAGGCCCTTAAATACGACGGTTTTTTAAATAAAAATAAGGGTAAGGGGGTTTATATAAATAAGGCCCTAATAAAAAAAGCGTTTATAAGCGCTCTTTTTATATTAGAAACGTTATTAAAAAAACTTATTAAGGATATAATAATATTAACTACTTTATTTATAAAAGTAAATAATATTTAAATCGGAATTAATACTTTTATTAATTTATATATCTCTCTAAGTATATAGCCCGTATTTAAATCTTTTTTAAATAAATTCGCGCTTATTTTTTTAAATAAATAGCCTCTTTTTAAATAACTCAACGAGGTCGCTAAAATAACTTTATACTCCCTAGCTATAAGCTACGTTTTTTAATTAAAAACTGGGCCCCCCGGGCCGTTTTATTACTTTTTAAATATCCTCTTATTTAATATAATTATTTTTTATATATTTCTTATATTTAAAAATAATATAAAGTATTTAAACTTCGCTTTAAAAAGGTTCTTTATAAAATTATTAACTAATATCTTATTTATTAATATATAAATTACTTAAAATAAGCCTCTTAAATACTCTTATTATAGTTATATATTTTAAATATTAACGTAGTATAAATAAATTAAAATACGTTCCCTTTTTTTTATTACGAATCTAATTATTTAACGATTATTATAATATATTTTTTATATATTACTTAGCTTAAGTAAAATATTTTTAAAAAGGTGTTTAAGAGCGAGTATTTTTTTAATTATATATTCTAAGCTTAGTAATTCGGCCTTTATAATCGACATAATTATTATATTTTAACGAGTTACTTTTTATTAAATAAGGTTATTAAAAAGGGAGATTATAAAACTTTATAAGGATCTTTAAGTCTTTTTATTATTTATAAACGAAGCGTTATTTATAATTAGTAATACTTAGTTATTCCTTAAGATCTTAAAGTATATTACTAAGTATTATATATAAAAAAAGTATTATATAACTTAATTTATAATAAAATAATATTAACGAGATAAGTTCGTTAAGAACTAAAAAAGTAAAATATATATAACAATAACGTCGGGCTAAATTATAATTATTATATATAATATTAAACCGACTTTTTTTTTAAAAAAACTTAGTTTTACTTAGGAATATAATCCCTAAGTTTTTTTTAATTAGGACCGTTAATAATAAGGTTATAGAAGTAATAAAGTTAATAAAATCGAACTTCTTAGCTACTTTTTTAAAATATTAATTATAAACTAAGTAGATTTTCTAATTTAGTTAATTATAAACGACTCTTATTTTAAAATATTATAAAACTAGCCCCTAGTTTTTTATTTTATACTTCTTTTTAAGTCCCTTAGTTATTTAACTAGCTTTATAAACGTAGTTTTTATAATAAAAAACGAGGATATTATTTATATAAAAAAGAACTAGGACTTTTTTAATAAAGTCTTAAAATAGGTACGGGTCCTTATTTATAAATAAGAAACCTAGATTTTTAAAAATTAACGCTAGCTCTTTATATTATAATAATAAAGTATTATGAGTATTATATAAGGCTTATTTAAGTTTTATATATATTTTTAGTTTATAAAAGCTATTTAAAAGCTTATAAATAATAAAAAAGTTACCTAGCTTTTTAAATATATTTAAAAAAGCGTT